GGAGAATTGCCTGAACCCGGGAGGCGGAGGTTGCGGTGAGCTGAGATCGCGCCATTGCACTCCAGCCTGGGTAACAAGAGCGAAACTCCGTCTCAAAAAAAAAGAAAAAAAGAAAAGAAAATTGGTCCATTAGAGATTGCTGATGGACTGGATGTTGAATTTGAGAGATAAAAGGCAAGTCAAGGACAAGTAAATGGGTAAATGGTGGTTGCCATTACTGAAAACTGAGAGAGGAACATATTTTGTCAAAGAAAAAATCAGGAGTTATTTTGGATATCTTAAAATTGAAATCCTATTAGACATCCAAGTTGAGTTATCATGTGGGCAAGAGACGAGTATCTGTGAATCACTAACAGATAGGTGGCATTTAATGAGATGGAACTGGAAGAGACCATATAGGGAAACAGGCTTAATGACTTCTCCGTGGCACTCTGATGCCTAGTATTCAGGAAGCAAGAGTAAGGTCCAGCAAACTGTGAAGGAGTAGCCTTTGAGGTGGAAGCATATCCTTATGTGTGTGGTGTCCTGGAAGTCAAGTAAATGCTTCAAGAGAAGAGGAAGGATCAACTGCCTCCCATGCTGACATGCTTGGTAAGATGAGGGCTGAACAGTGATGATTTGATTTGGCAATACGGAGGTCATTAGTGACTTTGGCAAAAGCATTTTCAGTGGAGTGGTTAGATATGAACTTCATTAGTGTGGTTTCAAGAAAGAGTGAGAAGTGAAGAAATGGGACGGGACAAGTTTAGTTTGTTTCAGGAAATTTTGTTCCAAAGTGGACCAGATAAGTGGAGTTTTAATTGAAGGGAGAGGTGGTAATGTAAAGGAAGATTATGCGTTTTTAGAATTTTGTGTTGTTGGTTTTGTTTTCCTGATTACTTTTAAAATTTCTTGTTGATACATAATATTTGTACATATTTATGGCATGCATGTGATACTTTGATACTTGCAAAGAATGTGTAATGACCAGATAGATAGATGACAGATATTACCGCAACTATAATACAGCATTTTCGTATGCTTATGGGAATACCCAGTAAAGAGGTAAAGAAAACTTGATGTGTGGAGTAGGGTGAGAATTTCTAGAACAATGTTTTTGGATAGTCTACAGAAAATGGGATGCAGTGCACAGGTGGAGGACTTAAATTTAGTTAGGAGCTTATTCATTGGAAAAGGAGGGCAAGCATGTCTGTAGACACAAGAACAAATAGGTTGGTAGATTTGGTGTCAGATGTTGACATTGCCCATTTTTTTTTTTACTGAAATAAGAAATGAGGTCAGCTGAAAATGAAGGAAGGCTGGGGATTTGAGGTTTGAAGGAGGAAAAAGAGTAGGGAAGCAAATTGTCTAAATACATGATTTTGGGACAGAGTTGAAAATGTGTTTCAAATAATATACTCTTGGTTGTGGGTTTTTCTTCATCTACATGCAATTGCTTGGGTAAAGGTGTATGGTAAATGAAAGGTTGGAAGCAACCAGAGTCAACATTTTCCCAGGCAAATATGGTAGAGGGAAAGAACACATAGGAATGATTACAATGACCATGGAATCTGAGCTCTATAGGGAAAGATGTCACGATTTGATGAAGATTATGCACAGTAAAAATGTGATAGGAATGGACTAGATGTCTCAGTGGATGGAATAATTATTGGAAAGGTGTATTTGTATGAGCGCACTGAAAAGGTAGGAGGTGGTGTCATAAAGTAGGATGTGTGAATTGTATTTTTTAGAGGTACAACAGGTATAACCGTAGATGGCTGAGGTAGGGCAGAGCATAAGCTTACTGGAGGTAAGGAGATAGAGGAACTGAACAGTATTAACACAGATAAAAAACTTTACTCTCTCCTTTTTTCCCTCCTTTTCTCCTTCACCTCCTTCTCTCCTCTCCCTCCAGGCTGAGATTGTGGACAAAAAATTATTAAGCTTTCTGCCTGATGAAGAGAAAAATGAAGTCTCACAAAAAATTATTCTCAAATATCCTTTGTTAAACTCAGGTATGTATTTATTTTTTTTCCCCATTTATTTATTTTATTGCATTTTAGGTTTTGGGGTACATGTGAAGAACATGCAAAATTGTTGCATAGGTACACACGTGGCAGTGTGATTTGCTGNGCAAGGTTGTTGCATAGGTACACATGTGGGAGTGTGATTTGCTGCCTTCCTCCCCATCACCTACATCTGGCATCTCTCCCCTTGCTATCTCTCCCCTACTCCCCACCCCCCACCGTCCCTCCCCTATTTCACCCCAACTGACCCTAGTGTGTAGTGCTCCCCTCCCTGTGTCCATGTGTTCTCATTGTTCAACACCCACCTATGAGTGAGAACATGCGGTGTTTGATCCTCTGCTCTTCTGTCAGTTTGCTGAGAATGATTGTTACTTGTCCCTTAAAACCTAAGAATGTATTACTTTTAAAAACTCAGGTATGTATATTTTTAAAAGTAATACCTTCTTAGGTTTTAAGGGACAAGTAACAATCACTCAATGGGTTAATTTTTTAAAGTTATTAGAGCATATCTCATATATTAATTTACTTTTATATAATATTACAATCTATATGTCTAGTGTTAAAAAATCTCTCCTCCAATAAATCTCATTCTTCACCATGGACCCTGATTATTATAGCATTTGTACAATTGCATTAGTGCTATGTAAAGAATGGACCATTGTGTATATAGTGTTCTAGCTAGTGCCCTACCCTACTGATACAACATAGATAGCTATGTAAGTGCTAATGTTTGTGGAAAGAAAATAATATTTTTGTAAAATCTAGTCTAAGTAAGACATTGGTCATATGAAATAATCCAGTAGAATATGGTAAAGTACAAATGTAGACTTGTTTTGTATTTGTTCTCTTTTTAATAGAAACACATATTGAATTTTGCTGTCATTTAAAAAGAGGAAATGTTGAACATGGTGATGGTCCTGCTTATGAATATGCAAAATTCATTTTGAATGTAAAAGATGTTTCTAACGGTAAGCAATTCTGTTTATGTTATCTATATAACATTCATGAGTTATGTAGCCCCTCATTACTAACGTAAATGCTCTTCTGCTTGGCAGTTGCAAACTGTCTGATATCCCTATGACCACAGTTTCTGACTACTCACATTAATTATACTTTAAAAAAATTAACAGTGAAATGTACAAGGTGGGGATCATACCAAATCATGATACACTGAGTTAAGGATGGCTCTTTCTTTTTATAAAACAAAGAAACGATTGCAAAAATATAACAAAAGACATTTAATGCATATCCAAGCTGAAAATAAAGGGGACTCTATGTGTACCAGAAATCAAAGTTTAAAGCAGTATGAAAATGGTAAGAAGAAGCTGATTTTGTGGCGGCCTCAGTGGATATTAAGTCATGCATGGGCTCCATTGGCTGGGGTCTGGAATTCTAACACCCAGTCAAGCACCAGTATATAAAACCTAGAGATCAATAAAGTGATCAATAAAGTTCTGGCCATTGGCCTAGAGGAATAATGAGTAGGTTTATCATCTCTCTGGGAATTTGAATGGACAAAAATGTGCCATTTACAGGAAACAAAAACCCAAATTTTTGTTGTATGTAGATATAGGGTCCATTTTATAAATTTTGAGGTTTCAGAAACTGCAAGCTGAGAAATTAACATAAATTAGGTAACATTAACTGGTTTGGAGCCATTAAAACATCTGGGACTTGAATCAGAGGTAAATAACCCAAATGGCTAACAAATATATGAAAAGATACTCAAACTCACTAATAAGCAAAGAATGAAACATTTAAAAGCCACTAACATTAGCACTCTATGCCCATCACAATGGGAAAAATTAGAAGTGTGAATAATACCAAATATTGATGAAGATGTGAAAAATGAATAAATAAATTAAATTGAGTCATGCAAAAGATGGCTGATGTATTTGTCACGATTCTTGGAAATTAATGGTCACACCTTTTGAAAAAATCTTACTTGACTATGTATGCAAGATTACACACACTCTCTCTCTTTCTCTCTCTCTCTTTCTACCCATGTGATCTATATAACAGAGAGGAGCCACATTTCTTTTGGAGACTAAAATGTCCATACACAGGGTAATAACAAAAGACTGAAAACTAACCTTAAGTCTCAACATTTGATTTTCAGTAACGACTTCTTTATGTTTTGGTGGGGAGGATGGCTGAAAAGGAAAGAAGACAGGAAAAATCCCATGGCTCGGAATTCTGAAAATAGTCAATGGGTTAGCAAACAGTACATGGATGTGGCAGGTGTTCGTCTTCTTGTTTAACTGACCCACCTTTCTGTTGTCACATGTGTGTCTATCTTCCTCAGAGTCTACTGTGTTCTTTAGTAGTTTCTGTTCCAGCCACCGCTATGCTGACTTGTCTGCTGCACATATTTCTTGGGAGGATCAGTTTTATCTTATGGGAACTGTTTGTATTCTCAGGACTCAGCTCCTGCAGGTGAGTATACTGTGTTTGTGCTTCCCCCATTGTGGCGATGGGGGCTTTCTTTGAAAGGTCATATCCCTTTTCATCTCTCAGCAACTGGACATTGCTAAATTACTCAGTGTATGCAGAGGGTTGTGCTAGGATATGTTAATAAGGAAAATCAACGCCTATGTTTCAGAAGGTGAACATCTCAGTGAAAATTTAGACACAGTTGAACGAGATACACAATCATTTACAAGGATTCTTGATATAATATAAAATATTATAAAATGTAGGTGCTGGGGACTGGAACACATTAGGAGAAATGAGCATTTTGGCAGGTGGATAAAAGAAGGCTTCTGATACCAGGTGAGTTTTGAGGCAGCTCCACCACAGACCCATTGGGTTGCTGATTGTAAAGGCTTTTGCTCACTTGGTGTTCTGTAATATGGCATTCACAAATTCTAGCTCTAAAAGGAATTCACTTTGAAATTCATCGGATAGATTCAGCTTCCATTAATTTATCCATTCAGTAACATATTTAGTGAGCACCTACTGTGTTCCAGGTACTGGCTAGGTGCCAGAGAGATATTAGGGAGATAGGCAATAGCTAAGTAATATTGAAAAGTGCCGTGGAGGATGACAGAATAGTGTGCTAATGACTGGTAGGGGTAGGGAGTTCAGAGAGAGTGGTCAGGGAAGGTCTTTTTTGGGTAATTTGTCTTTTGAGCAGAGACCCCTAGGTATGCTAAGAAAGGAGGCAACACAGGTAGAGGGTTCAACATCTGTAAAAGACCTGAGGTAGTAACTAGCTTAGAGAGTTCCAAGGAACAAAGTAAGTTATGTGAGCAGAATAAGGTGAAAGAGGGAAGGAGCAGCAGAAAATAAGCTCTAAGAGGTAGACAGGGGACATATTATGTAGAACTTTGAGATCCATGATAATCAGTTTGGGTTTTACTCCAAGTGTGTTGGAAAGCAGGAAGGTGACATAATCTGATTTTCTTTTCTTATTTTTCTTTTGAGACGGAGTCTTGCTCTGTTGCCGAGACTAGAGTGCAGTGGCATGATCTTGGCTCACTGCAACCTCTGCCTCCTGAGTTAAAGTGATTCTTCTGCCTCAGCCTCCCAAGTAGCTGGGATTATAGGCACCCATTACTGCACATGGCTAATTTTTGTATTTTTAGTAGAGATGAGATTTCACCATGTTGGCCAGGCTTGTCTTGAACTCCTGACCTTGTGATCCACCCACCTCAGCCTCCCAAAGTGGATTACAGGGCTGCGCTACTATGGCCGGCCCTGATTTTCTTTTTTAAAGGTCAGGCTGAATACTTGGTGGGAAATGGAGTACAGAGAAATAAGAATGGTGGAAGGAAGAGGACCTAAGTGAAAGATGATAGGGGCTTGGACTATGATTGTAGTAATGTAGATAAAAGTGTACTGATTTGGGGTATATTTTGGAGACAGAGCCCTTGCTGATGAGTTAGAAGTGTCTGGTAGAAGGGAGAGAAACATCTCATGGAGGACTCTTAGCTTTTCGGCTTGTGGGACTCAGCAAATGGAGGTGGCATTAACAGATTTGAACAAGATTTGGGACAATGTGGATCAGGCAGTGTGGGAGGCTAAAATCCAGGGCACTGTTTGGGCAATGTTAATACTGTGTTGACATTACAACATAAAACCTTGGCCCAGTCACATCCTTTAGCCTCAGTTTCTTTTTCTATAAACGGCACTCATAGTACCTCCTATTAGGGCTGTGAGGAATAAATAAGACAGCTTCTCCTATATGGTAAGCACTCAGTAAATGTGAGCTATTACAGTTGTCATGATCATTGTTATTACTGTCATTATTACTGCCAGTTATCCAGAGAGGGCAACCTACTTGCTTTACTTTTCATCTCTGTTTAAAATGTGGGCTTCCCAGACCACATTTTAGAAAGTATGGAGGGCATCTTTGCATTCATTTTTAGAGCAAGTCATATCATCATTTCTTCAAATTTAAGATGGTAAGAAAAGCAGTGTAGAAGAAAGACAGTTGAGAGAAGTTGCCTAATACGATTGCCCCATTCATTTTTCCTTCTTTGTAGCCCTCTGGGATTTGAACTGTCACGTCTGCCATGAGAATACAGACATCCCATTTTGGAAGTCAATCCCAACACCTACTTCATTGTCTGAGAAAGAGAAAATATCTGATTTGGTCCAATACCCTGGTTACCCTTATAGCACAAGGAACTCTATTTGTGATCTAATCCAGTTTGTCTCTAGGTTTATAGGATGTTTGTTGCATATTAGCAGACACTTTGGAGAAAAAATCTTCTGCGAATAGAGGGCTTTTGGAGGAAGAATTATTTCACAGCATGACTGTGTAGTACAGTAGAACAGTGATGAACTCACAGTTCAAACTTTGAAATTCTGCTCCTGGATCTACTAGCTGTATTTCTTGAATCAATTTTTATATCTTTATAATTCTCAGTTTTCAAATCTGTAAAACTCCAGTGCATTTCTCACATTGACATGCAGATTATTTGTAACATTGGACATGAGCATGCCTCCAAAATTAATATATGCTATGCATTTTTACTAATATATATATCAAGTATCTAAATATTTGAATTTTTTTGCAGAGACTTTACACTCCAAGGGAAGTCAGTGACAAATTTGTACTTACACAAGTTTCAGATGAGGAACCTTTTGTGGGAGATCTCAGGTGAGCAGTAGTGTTGATACAGGTAACGAACAGGTAGAATACAATTTTACTAAACAAAACTAAAACAAGAGAAATGATACCTGCAGATACTCTTTCCCCATCAAAATGAAAATAAAAAGAAAAAAGAAGCAAATGGGCCAGGGATGGTGGCTCATGCCTGTAGTCCCAGAACTTTGAGAGGCTGAGGCAGGAGGAACCCTTGAGCCCAGGAGTTTGAGACCAGCTTGAGCAACATAGTGAGACCCATTTCTACAAATAAATAAATAAACAAACAAACAAACAAAATAAAAAATAAACAGCCAAGTGTGGTGGCATGTGCCTGTGGTCCTAGCTACTTGGGAGACTGATGTGGGAGGATCACTTGAGCCGGGGAGATCAAGTCTACAATGAGCAATGATCATGCCACTGCACTCCAACCTGGGCAACAGAGTGAGACCCTGTCTCTTAATAAATACATGAATAAGTGAAACCAGAATAGCAGTCTACTAGTCTGAACTTCCTTTCTCGGCTAATAAAATTCACATGTTTTTCCAACAGAATATAGATACAGATGATTGGCTTTTTATTTTTTTTTAAAAGCATTAAAGCAACAAATAGAGAAAACTTATCTGACTCAGACATGTAATGACTTTCAAATTAAGGTAATGCATCTTAATATACTAGTTTATTACTTATTTTTTCTTGAAAATAAAGGTAATGTTTAGACACTTTTAAATGGTAGAAGAGCAAGTATGCATTGTGGTAACTGCTAATTATATAGGCATCCATCTTTTGTGAATCTAGTATGTTCTGTAAAATTTGTTTGCTAACACATTTTCAGAGAATAGAAGCCAATATTCCACTATTTTATGTGAGAAAAGTAAAAATATATTCTTAACCACCAGGAAAATGCTGATTAATTTGCCAAATACCATGAAAATCCCTTTATAAACTTATTTAACAGCCCACAAAGGATTTCTATAAAATGTAAATTATTTATAATAATATATCGTTATGTACCATTTGGTACATAAACTCATTGGTAGGTACGTTTGTATGCAGTAAGCCACAATACCATACACTATTCAGTGTATGGTGTTAAATATATTAAAGGTGTGCACTGTGTGTCAGTAATACTTAGTAAAATAAAATAAGAAAACAAGGGAACTTTGCAAGAGGTTTCTTGGGATCAAAGGCACGCTTGTATGAGTTCTGGTGGTGAGAAGAGTGAGCTGGAAGCTGAGGCCACTGTTATTATTTGGGGGCAGGAGGAGGTAAGGAAGCCAGAGTTGATGAAGGAATGAGTTAAACAGGAAATATCTGAGGCTCATCTGGATTTAGGAGAAGGCAGGGAGAATCTTCCCTTCCCATCAGAAGAGTACAGAGGCGATTGGCTCTCAACCATTGTCTGATGCCACACACAGAACAGTGGGATGAGAAATAGAACTCATGGTGTCTAGCTATTTGCATCCCCTTTGCATGATTAAAAACTCTTGCTAACATAAAGCTGCATTTGTGTTAATAATTGTGTGTTGAATGTGACAACGTGACATGTCTGCTCATGCCATAATCACATTTATTTGTACCAGCATGCTGCTTTTGTGGAATCTAATTTTTTTATGAATCTTCAGTATTTTATTTTTGGTTTCTAGGAGTGGGGAGCACATGCATGACCAAGCTTAAGACTTCTAGCCAGTCGACTCTCTGAATGTGCTTTATCACTCCCAGCTTTTCTTATAGTACATGGACTTCAATAGGTCTGTTAGTCTTGCCCATTTCCTTCATTAGTTTCTCTACTTTCTTAGAAGAAATTTGGAGAACAAGATAGCTACAAGACAACATGTTTAAACAACATAAACTCGATACACTATGCCATAAGGAGAATGACTGAGACACAGTAACAGCACACTGGCATGCTCTTGTCTAGGCATGCATGACTTAAACATATTCTTGCATGTGCCCTAAAACAGATTTATTTAGCAGGTTTGGGTAATGAATTTTGTTTAAAAATTAGCATATCAGCATAGCAAATATTCAGATAGTGAGAGTTCAGAGAGCAAAGATACCTGTATTTTTATTTAAAGGTAGAGTTGAATTGGATGAAAAATATTCCGATGCAGCAAGGAGCCAGCTACCACATCTATGGCATGATCTTCATAAGATATATAAGAAAAGTGTTTTCTGAAGGCTTAAAATTATATCTTTTCTAATATTATAAGAAATTAAGACTCAAATGTGGGTGAATGCACACTCTTTCCCCTAAAGTTCAAAAGTAGACAATGGATTTTTTATCGTGTAGGAAGTAAGATAGAAGAGTGATGCTTAAGGACAAAAACAGATGCATTTAATGAAGAAAAGTCTGATTAATTCCAGACTGATTGTACGTCTCATATCCCTCCCTCCTCCAACTCCATGGCCACTACTCTGGCCCCAATCTCTTCAGTTCTCATATGATGGGTTGTTGGTGGACCTGGCTGACCCACAAACCTGAGCTCTGTAAGGCAGGACCTGTCACCCTCATCCCTGTCCAGTACAGAGCCTGATAATAAGTAGACAGAAGTGACATCTGCTTATTAACTGATTGATTAATTGAGCTTATCAAAATAGTAATACATTCCAGGCCATGAGATTTCTCAAACATTATGTAGTATTGTTAGAAAGCAGTGCAAACCAGTACCCTATTGTTTTATTTTTTTCATAGATTTGTCCCTTGTCCCCTCGATATTTTAAATTAAAAAGAAGAGATCGCATCATATCACGGTTGTAATTTTTAGTTATTAATAGTCTGGCTCCCATTTTACCCCCTGGGAGATGGTTAGAAAACCAATCATTCACAAAGGTCATAGGGACCTACAGCTCCAAAATGTTTTCCTTATCTTGGTAATTCCATTATTTTAAGATTAAGAAGCATCCTGCTAAGAGGCTTGAAAGTTTTGTCTATGCTTATGAAGGAAACACAAAGATGGGAATTTGAAGTGTTTAAAATAAAGGGTGTATTTCCACATAGAATGTCCTGTTTGTGCATGTTTAAGATTTGAGGCTTAAAAATATTTCATTCCAGGAGGGGGACTGAATAGCAGGGGTATTTTTTTACTGAGGCTACATGTGTACTGGAGTGGAAACTCTTGCTTTCCTGGACCATTGAAGGTAGAAAGAAGTAAGGGATTTATGAGTCAGTGAGGGGCAAGCGAAGAATTCAATATTGAGTAGCCCTCTTCTGTCTTGCTACTGCTAGAGTCAAAAGTAAGCAACTAAATTACTCTTCGGATTTTCCCAGTTGTTTGTAGTGGTAAGGCCCAAATTCCTATCATAGCATCATCTTTTAACACAGTGCATTTTGTACTTTATGAAGTTATTTTATGTTTATTAATTCAGTTATTTTCTACATATCTACGAGGTAGATTTTAGACTCATTGTACAGGTGACAAAGCACACTCACAGAGGATGTATAATTCGCCCAAACTCACACAGCTGGTTAGGCAGTAGAGCTGTATTTGGGACCTAAATTACCCTGGGCTCCATTCTGTGAGGACACCAGTTTCAGGAGCTGTGGCCAGTACATGATTCAAGGGAGAAAACTCGAGGAGTCTTTGGGAAGTACATGACCAGGGATGTTACTAAGAGAAAACATGTTCTTTTTAATTTCACCTTAAACTTAGAGGAAGGAGACTATACCAATTAGTTGGCCCTAATACTTTTTACAAAGATGGCACTTTTTCATCCAAGCGTAAAGTAGAGAACACTGGAAAATCAAATGGCAAGTATTTCCCAGGTTCCAGTAGCTCTTACCTGTGCTTGCCAAGTCCTTAGAAACTCTGCTTCAGGACTGGAATTGGTCTCTGAGGAAACTGCATCTGTCAGCAACTCCACCAAAAAGAATGTTCCTGCCTAATTCCTCTTTCAGTGAAGACACACCTTGTACAAAGGTGTGGGGAAAATTTGGCAAAGATGTACAATGGTCCTAATTAGTGAGTTTTTATTGTACTGGGTCTTTATACTGTACTATGTATTATACTATACTGTACTATACTGTACTGTACTGTACTGTACTATGCTATACTATACACTATACTATACTGTATTGACTCCATTCCTTATGTCTGCCCCATCGTGAGCAGGGGAAGAGCCTTGCACATAATTGTAGATGTTGCTAGCATACCTAGTCTTACCACTTTAGTCCCAGTGAAATTTATTTGTTCACACAGAAAATATTTAGCATCTACTATGTGGAAATTTCTGTTCCAAGATTTAAGGATATAGCAGTGAGCAAAAATCTTTATCTACATAGTGATTACATTCTTATGGAGGAGAAAGATAATAAATAAGTCAATAGACTATAGAGTAGGTGAGATGATGAGGGCCAAGGGAAAAAAGGAGCTGTGAAATGAGGATAGGGAATGTTATTGGGGGAAAGTTAAATATTACTAGATTTTGAAATGGCATTTTTACAGGTTAAAAAATAGAGTAATACTGTCAATTCCCTGTGGTTTCCTTGTGGCCAGAAAGGGCCTCAACAAGAAGGTGACTTGAGTTAACATCTGAAAGGAGTGGAGGAGCAAGCCTCATGGATTTTGGAGGAGATATTCAAGACAGAAGGAAGAGCAGATGCCCGGTCCTTGAGGCAGAAGCACATGGCAGAAGCATATGTTTGAGAAAAAGTAAAGGAGCCAGTGTAGGTGGAACAGCCACCAGAGAGGAACATACAGGGCCTGCGATCAACTGTGCAGGAAGGGCCAGGATCATGTCAGCTCGACCCTGCCTTGTGGAATAGTTCCTTTTAGTCATTCACCATTATTTCTCTTGTTTGTCAATGTCGTGTGGAGACCTAGTCAACACTACTTGCTCTCCCTTTGCAAGTTACTTTACTATTTCTGCTGATTCTACTCCACTAATTCTACCTGTCATCTTTGGCAAATACTTTGGAGGTCTTCTGGTATAGTTTTAAAACAACATAAAATTAGGATTTTTAAAAACTAGAATGGTCAAGTTTTGTGTCTTAGCTTTGCCATTTACAGGTTGTG